ACGGCAACAGACTCTTCCTAAAGGGAAGGCATTTCTTCTCAAGAATAAAAATAGTACGTTGAACACGGCCTTCTTCTAAAAGCTTCAAATTATGGGGGTACCTTTATTATTTACGCTTTCATAATAGCCCCTTCATATTGTAAAATCAGGTATTATTTCCAAATTCTCGTGCAGTAAAACTATGGCTGGCTCAGGGGTGGTGGAGGACTCATGATCGGGGGCACAGCCGAACTAAGGTGCGAGCCCCCCACCCCCAGGCCCATGCACCACCCCCCTCCCAACCCCAGGCCATCAGGAAGCCGGAGAGGCAGGAAGCAGAGTTTAAGAACTAACAGACTCCACAGCCAGATGGTCCAGGCCTCGGTTCTGCTGCGAGGAGCTCTTTGAACAGGAAAAGTTATTTAGCCTCTCTTGGGCCCAGTTTGTTCTGTTTTTCAAATGTACAAAGCTCAGTGCCTGGAACAGAAGAAGTCCTTAGGAAATAGTACTTTCCCTTTGCTTTCCAAATACTCGTTTCTCTGCCTCCTCCTCACCCTCTCCATGAGGATGTCCGATTTAGGCATTTCAAATTTAAAGGGTCCCACACCAAGATCGTCTTTGTGCAGTCGCGGTGCAGTACGCATCCTGCACTCTGCTCTCTCGCCCCCACGTCTGGCCAGCAGAACATCTTGATGCCTCCCCCTCCGAGACGTACCCCTCCTACGATGGGGTCTTCAACTGCACTGCAGCACCTGGGCCCCGTGGCTGCCCCGTCTCGGAAATGGGTCTCCTTGCTTCCTCTTATGCTCAGATGGGCGGCCAGGATGACCCATTAATAACATCGAACAGGTCCCATCACTCCCGCTCAGAGCTGCACAATGGCTTGCCCTTAGCACTGAAGGGACAGGCACAATCCTCCCTCTGCCTGACAAAGAAGGCCTCCCTGATCTGACCCATCAGCCCGCATCCACCCTGGGCTCACTCCATCCTATTACTCAAACCTGCCAGGCCACGAGGCTCCCAAAACTTCACATGTGCTGTTTCTTATGCCTAGGACACTATTCCACTTTCTTCTAGGCACCCTGGCATGCCTGTTCTCTCAACTTCTTCAGGTTTCTGCTTACATGTTACCTTTTTCTTTTCTTTTAGAGAAAGAGAGAGAGAGGGAGATAGAGAGAAGGAGAGAGAGAGAGAGAGTGCAAGTGTGAATGGGGGTGGAGGGCAGAGGGAGAGGGAGAGAATCTTAAGTGGACTCCACATTGAGCATAGAAAATGACGTAGGGCTCGATCTCATGACCCTAAGATCATGACCTGAGCTGAAATCAAGAGTCGGACCCAACCGACTGAGCCACCCAGATGCCCCACATGTCACCTTTTTTGTAAGAGCTTCCATTACCACCGTATTTGAATATTAAAACAATGCGTGTGCACATAGAGACATTCCTCATCTGCTTTCACCAATTTCCTCCAGAGCAAGCACTAATCACCATCTAATATGTTATATACTTTACTTGTTTATTATCAGCCTTCTCCCTACTCAAATATACACTTGCCAGAGTAGGGGCTGAGTTTCTCTTATACTTGCAACATTTCCAACAGTCAGGAAACAGTTTGGCCACTACGAAGCTCAGTTCCATGACTGAATGGGTGGCTCCTCACTCTCGCCATCTGTGGCACATCCAATTCTTTTTGCTGAGAATCAGTGGGTCTGAAAATTCTCCAGCAGTCGCAGCTGGTGATAAGGGTGCAGACTGCTGACGTGGGGAGGGAGGCACCTGCCATTTAGGGGAAGTCGAGGCTCTGGGGACACGTGGACATCCCCAAGAGGCAAACAAAGTTGCCCATGGCAGAGGTGGGGGGAGGGGGTCGAAGCCCTTACTAAAAGGCTTCTTACTAGAGTCTCCATGTAAGGGATTTAGAGGAGGGGGATCTCAGAGCACCATTAAGGAGTCAAGCATATGGGATCTGAACACAAGAGCCCCCAGATAACTAGCTGTTGTAAAACAGAGAAAAATGAACAAGGCCAAAAACTGCATTGGTGTCACTCAAAATGTTTACGGTGAAGAATGCCAACTGCAATTGCCTTTATGAGAGAGGAAACGCTCCCTTTTGGATCAGAGCTTTCCAAATTCATGGGTCTGTGCTCAGGGGCTTTCTTCCTGTTCCACGACCTGGCTTCTAATCATTCCAGTTTAGAAAAAAAATAATTACAAAACAATAACAAAAAAAACCCTAAAAAACCAAACCTGTCCAAAAGAGTGCCATATGGAGAAGAGAAGAGCTTACTTATCTTCTTTCACCTTCGTATTTTCCCAGAAAAGTTAAGAGTGGGCATGGGAAAACCTCAGATGATTTTATACTCCTTTGCTGGTGATAAGATAATATAAGGCAGCCTGCCTTGTTGGTGAGCTCCTTGAAGACAGGTGCTGTGTTCTGGACAGTTTCAGGTAAGAGCAGCATCTAATACATTCTTCTGCACAGCAGGGGCCTAACAAGTGCTAGAAATAAGCCAATACGAGCACAAACAAATAAAACGCAGCCCATTAACTCAGTTCCTTGCATTCAAGTGCTCCCATCCCAGTCCTGACCTTGGCCCATACACTCTGCTCTGCCCCAGGATCCCAATCCTTGGGCCAGCAAGCACCTTGGGAGCCTCCCCTTCCACAGATGATATCGGGAGATTTAACACCACGATTATACTATTGTTGTTATTGGCTTCAGAACCCCACCAGCACTCTGGCAGGTCCTAGCTGGGACAGAATAAATGGGATTTCCCAGCTACAACACTACAATTAGTGACCACCTGTTCCAGGGACTTTGCTGAGTTACACTTCTCCAAGAGAGACTTGTAGCTTTACATGTATATTGCAGGTTGCGTTTCCGGGGAAAAGGACTCTGATATGGAAGTCAGCATGCAAGAGGTTAATTTAGGGAGTGGTCTTGGGAAAGGCATCTGAAAAGGGAAGGTGAGAGGACAGCCAGAGGGAGAAATCCAGCTGTGACTGGGTTGTCACAGCTGACCCTGCAAGATTCCACATTCCCCAGGAAGGGGGCGTGGCCAGAGGCATGTGACTCTTCACCTGTGGCCCTACCCCCAAGGGGCTGATGGCTGGGGGCCCTCTGCAGGGCTGCACTCCCAGGAGCTGGAGTCAAAGTTCTTTACTCCCAAAGGGGAATATGGGCACTCACTGCACACAGCCACTTCGCCTCTCCAGCAAGTCAGAGCACGATGACCTCCTCCCCCATGATGCCCTCTCAGCTGCCTTTTCCAGTCCCCTCCAGGAGATGTGGTAACTCTCATTTTTGCTCATCTCTTTATTTCCAGAGCCCAGCATACCAGCGACACCCAGCAGAGATGCAATAAATATCTGCTGAATAAACACATCACTGAATACCGGACATAAGTGTGAAAATGTATCACAGAATTATTTTTTAAAAACTGTCCCCCAGCGGTGCCTGGGTGGCTCAGTCAGTTGAGCGTTTTGACTCCTGACTTCGGTTCAGGTCATGATCTCACGGTCATGGGTTCGAGCCCCATGTTGGGCTCTGTGCTGGGCATGGAGTCTGCCTGGGATTCTCGCTCTCCCTCTGCCCCTCCCTGCAATTAAAAAAAGAAAAAACAAAAAACCTGTCCCCAAGGAGTTCAATGCAGTCAGAAAAACAAGCAGAAATGATGGGGGAACTTGAGAAGAGATGCACACAGAAGCATACGTATGTGCATTCTGGTCTCAACTCTGGTCTCAACCCTGCATGCCTTCAAGCTTCAATTTCCTTGTGACTTGAAAGGACAGATCCCAACATTCTATGAAGAAGAGACCAGAGCGGAGACACACTCAGTTTCAACAGTTTTGCTAAATACGTCTTTCTTAGTGTCATTACTGACAGGGGAAAGGAAAGTAAGTTTTGATCCTGACAAGGGAAAGAGCCTGAGGGTCAGAGTGCCTCCCCCATGATATGCTGAGGACTTTTTTTCCAGTTAGCCTAGAGCTAAGAGTCCCCTCCCACCTCCCACCCCCGTGAAAGAAGCAGGCAGAGACTGGAGTAGGTGAGGAAATTTACTCTTCTGTCCATGAATGGAAACAGAAACCAACTGGAATATCCTGTGATTTATGAAAATGCGGTGATTTTATATCACTGAGTAGTATTTCACCTTCATAGGATAAGGAGCTACAGAGAAGCAGGAGGAGAGATTTTAAACACGGAAGCCAGAATGCAATTTTAAAAAGAAAACTAAGAAATAAAGAAAAAAAACTCACTCCCAAATTTATCTCTCATTGCATTTGTCTAATATAGAGAAGAACTTGTAAGAATGCAATTTTAAGGGAGACATCTGGAAGGGGGATTAAAATAAAAGCCCAAGATTTGTGCTAACTTGTCACTTCTCTCATGCATCCATGCCAGAGTCAAGTAACACCAACTGGGCTCACAATTCCCCACCATGTAATCTCATACACCTTGAGGCAGTGACAAGAACTACAGTGATGGCTAAGAAAAAACTAACTAGACAAGAAGGAATGTCTTACAAAGCCAAACTTATATACCTCCTTAAAGTGGTAAACCACAACATTAATGAAAGCAAAAGCCGTAAGAACATTTTCCAACACTATAATCAATACCCATCTCCACCAACTCAAAGGCCCTCCTCGGCAATCAACGCATCATTTGATTAAAAAAAAAAACCCCAAACTGATAAATGCAGGTAAGTCAACACTCAATTACCTGTATACAAAATATACACACTTGACATTTATCTCTTACAAAGCATCCTAAATTGGGTTCTTCCTATAAACACCAACATGACCTCTTCATTTACTAAAGAAACGCAAACCAATTCCAATTTGATTCGAACATGCTTCAAATGCCAGTAGAGTTGATACTTAACTAGATTTGTAACTCCTTGTCCATTTCATCAGCATGACCTCATTAAATGCGGGCCTCACATTAAAAAAAAAAAATACAGTCATTTTTCTTGGCATGACAACACCTTCAAAGATACCAGGAAAAAATGGGGCTACAATTACCTTTGAATTTGTGGAACACGGCCCATAGCTCTGCAATGTCGGTCGCAAAGGTAATATCCGTGTCAAGGACAATGACCCTCTCCAGGTTGGTGGGAAGAGTCTTGGTCAGGACGAGCTTCATCAGACCATAAATGCCAGAGTAGTGTTTGTTGGGGATCCAGGACACTTCAGACTACACCAGGCAGGGAAGAGGAGTAGAAAAAAGAAAAAGAAAAAAAAAAAAAAAACATTACTTTTTTTGCATAAACATTATAAACAGTGCCTGGGACATAAAAAAGCATTCAATAAAAATTTGCTGAGTAAATGAATATTTTCTTAAAGATTTGTTTATGTAATTTATGGTTTGGCATGTGAAGTTTATTGGAAGAAAATGCATCTGAATCAAGGGATAGGAAAAGCAATATTTATGAAATAACTATTATTTGCAGACGCTATGCTCAGATTTTTTTTAAATAAAATTTGTATTATAGAAATTATATAGGCTCACTGGAGAAAAGAGGACTATGTTACAAAAGAATAAAAGCATAAAAATTGGATCATACTCTATTTTTTTTCAAATAGCACCTAATTGTTCCAAGGTAGATCTATTTCTTTCAATCACATTCTGTTTGTCATTAAAGACTGCTACCTTAGTGGCCTCGTTCAAGCTTATGCTTATCTATTTTTTTTTGAGCTGTAATTGAAGCAATTAGTGTTGTTCTGTCTCCTGGTTCTCAAGCACACAAGAAGGACTTGGTCAGAGGCTACGCAACACTCTTCACTGGGGAACAAGAGAAGACACACCCACAGAGAGTAATGAACAGCCTACGGAGAGTCAGCACTGAAATCCACGATGTAACAGGACACCAAGGTCCCACAAGTGGGTACATCTGTCAGCAAGTCACACATCTCGGTACCACATGGTACCCAAAGGCAAGGCTGAAAATAATACATAATACTAGTGTGCTGAAAGCTCTCGAAGGTACAGGTCATATATGAAAGTAACCATGGGTATGGGCTCCATCCTAGCTGTCCCAGGGAGCTGCCATCCGTTCAAGCCAAAGCACACTTATTTTCAAGAAGTTAACACTGATAATGGAACTCTTCAGCGGAAAATGTGGCCGCCTTATTGAAATTCCAAAAAACATTCACCCCTTTTGTCCTTATAAGTCCATTCTGAGGACACTGTTCTAAAAAAAGTCACATTTAAAAACGAGAAACCAGTTTTATTCCCAAAGATGTTCATCACCATGTTATAAAAGAAACAATCCAAATGCCCTGAAACTGGACAGTTAATTAAAACATGCTTTTTTAAATCTGATAGCATGAGCAATCTAGAGCTATGAGCAATCTAGATTAAGATGTACTAAAAAAAAAAAAATCTTGCATGTGATGTTAAAAGAAAAAAGGTAAGTTTTAAAATTTCTTTTGGTTAATAACGTCTACGTATAATCAAACAACATGAAAACACATCCATCCCAATTTATGCTGAGAAAGAAGAAATAGAAGCATGGAATCATAATACTAATAGTGGTCATTTTGGGGATGATGGGTCCCTCCTCTAGATAGATATGTATACACCCCCACACCACACATATGTATTTTATCACACTTTTCAACTTTTTAAAATGAGCAACTACTATCATTGTAAAGAAAAACCAAGCATCGCATTCTTTTTAAACATACCAATATCGGTGATGGTGGGAAAAACAGGGACACAGACCCTGCCTTAGGAAAGCTATGACAAAGGACCCCCGTGGTAACTCACACGATCCAGCCCGTCCCTGAAAACCACTCCATGTTGTGTGTTCATCCTCAGTTTACTTGAAAATACCATGTCAGCTACTCCTTATCCTCTCAATACATGTGCAATTTCTGACTGGTGGCGGGGGAAAGAAAAAACATAAACCGGTGGACAAAACTGTTCATCACGTGTCAGTCTCAGGAAAAGAACCTTGAACTCTGTCTGTTGTCCCCATCACCGTGTTCCCGGGCAGCATGGAGGAAGGAAAGCAGAGACAAAAGCCAAAATCTGAACCCCAGCCCCATACAAGGCACTGGTCTTTCTAAGCCCCAGTTTCTTTCCCTATAAAAAGGAGACGATGCTTCCATTGCATGGTTTGTGGAAGAATCAAAGGAGATGGAAGGATGCGAGGGTTCAGCCCACAGAAGCTCCCACCCTTCTCCTGACTCCCCTCAGTGTGTTAAGTGTTTGCTTCATACTGAAGGGGGTGCGGTGTACGGCAGTGTTAAACCTTGGGTTCTGGAGTCAGGCACAGGTGGATTCAGATTCCGGTGTCACTTAATGGCCGCGTCACCTTGGACAAGTTGGTCCGGCCTGAGTTTCTGTCGTCTATGAAAGGCAGTTACTTGTACTGTGTGTTGTACTGTCAGGGGGTGGGTGTAAACAGCACATCCAAACTGGGTGATCTGAGGAAAATGGGAAAATAAAAGAACTATTGACTGAAACGGACGCGTAGGGCCAGCAGCAAGGAACCGTGTTGCACCTGGGAAGACGTATGAATAAGCCACAAGGCAGGAGCCGTGAACTTCGGTGGAGGGCCACGGACGACTTGTGGCAATTTCATGGGCCGGAGCAGGGAGAGGCCTCTCTCTCAGCCTCTCTCCCCTCCTGCCCACCCCTCTCCCGCTGGGGCGCCCCTCCGTACAAACCCAACTGGACGCAGAGGGAATGTGATCTCAACCTGTCACCGAACTGAACGAATGATGGCAAGACCACAGCTCAAGGCCTTCTGCTGAACCACCATGCTATCCGTGAGGTGGGCGGGTGGGCGAACGGAAGGATGGACAGGTGGGTAGATGGGCAAATGGCACAGGAAGGTGAGTGATTTGTCTACAATCCCTCAGTGGGTAAGATGCAAAGCGATAGTCAGAATCGGCCAAGGGAAGGTTTGCCTTTCCTTCCCCAAGCCACATCATCCTTCCTTTCGAGCTAGCATCCTGACGCGCCATCAGCTTAGATCTGAGGGCCGGGGGCTCCTCGAGTTAAGGGCCTCCAGTGGGCTTTAAAAAACTCTTCCTCATGAAAGCTCCAGCCTTTGGAACTCAGCTCAGCTGCTCCTCTCCCCTGAGGATGTGCCTGAACTGAAGCTTGGCAATCATGGGTCCACGCGGCAGAGCTGTGCTATTTAATCAGACCTTTGATTAACTTATTCATCTATTTTGGTTACCATCAAAGCAGGAGAGCTTGGTGAAGACTGAACGCCAGAGCGCTGGGTTGAGCCATCTAATTAGATTGCCCTGACTCTCAGCTTTATTTTTAACACACATGTGAGGCACTCAGATGCATCACCGAACAGTAGGACGACAGGAATAAATTAATCTCAACATGAGCCCAGGCCGGAATGTCGCCCCAAGTCCCCGACTTAATACATAATCAATTAAGTCAGAGTGTTCAACTAGAGGTAAAGGAAGCATTCGGATGAGTTTGTATTCAGAGAGAAAACCCCAGAAAGAAAACCGAGGAATCTATGGGGGGAAAGAACGTGTGGTTAAGAAGCAGATACACTTATTAGAAATGGCCCTCTGTCTTAGAAGTACAATATAATATGTCCCCCACCCCTGCCTTAGTCTAATCCTGCTCTTCTTTCGAGCCTCAGCTTAGAAGGCACCCCCCGCCTCGCCCCGGTCGCCACCTCCCCGGGGCCCCAGGCTGGGCAGGGGCTCCTTGAGCAAGCTGCCCCCCTTCCTCTAGCACAGCATGCTCTCACGCTGTGTCTGATTTTCCATGTCTCTCGCCAGCTCTGGGCTGGAACTCCCTGAAGCAGGGACGATGTCATTTTTGCTGTGGTAATAACATAGTCATTACTCAAAAAATGTATGATGAACGTGCATGACTGCAGAGCTGACCAGGCCTGGGTTTAAATCCTACCTTTGACGTTTTCTGCAACCAGCAGCAGAAACATCCGTGACTGCTGTAGCCCAGGGTCGGTCTGGTGCAACGGGAGAGACGTGCCTTGTCGAGCCCCAATGCCCGCCCTTTAGCACCAGTTCCATCATTTTGCCTCTGTGAGGCTTTGTTTTCTCATCTGCAAAATGGGGGCTTGGAACACTCACTTTGCAATACTGCTGGGAGAACGGCAAGGCATCCAGCCTGATGCTGGGCGCCCAGCCAGCCTCTGCAAAGGCCACTTCGCTTCTCCCAGTGAAGGTCTGTCAGCACTGTGGAGGCTCAGATGATTCTCGATGTTGAGCTTGATAAGAGCAGGAAATGATGCTACCTTTGATAGTAAAGGGGAAGTCAGGAATGAAGATGGTTTTGTCGGAGGAAAAGAAGTCACTCATCACTTCTCCCTATACTCCTAGATTATTTTTTTAAGGTTTTTATTTTATTTACTTATTTGAGAGGCAGAGAGACAGAGATCGAGGAGGGGCAGATGGAGAGGGACAAGCAGACTGAGTGTGGGGCCTGAGTGGGGACTCGATCCCATGACCCCAAGACCTTGACCTGAGCCAAAATCAAGAGTCGGATGCTCAACTGACTGAGCCACCCAGGTGTCGTAGAATTTTTTTTTTTATGATTATTTACTTATTTTAGAGAGAGGAAGGGAGGGAGGGAGAGAGAGAGAACACAGCAGGAGGGAGAGAGGGAGAGAGAATTTTAAGCAGACTCCCTGCTGAGCACGAAGCTCTGACGGGGGCTCAATCTCATGGCTCTGAGGTCATGACCTGAGCTGAAACCAGGAGTCGGTGGCTTAACCAACTGCACCACCCAGGTGTTTCTCTTACAGAGATAACAAAATCACAAACTGAGATCTTGGAAACTCAAAGCCTCCTCTGGTAGATCTCCAAGTTGGACTGTACACCTTTGGTTTTAGGAAGAAAAACCTACTAACATAAAATATACAAACAAACAAACAAACAAACAAAAACCTTCCACCAGAGTGGGTGGAAATGTTCACCCATGCAACCTTTGGGACAGTGTCTTGGGACAACCCTTACTGGTATCGAATCTCATTCCCACCCTGCAATAAACTTCAGTCCAATCAGGGACATCAATTCGTGGGGTCAACAGAGGGAAGACCATCCTCAGAGGCATACTGCAGACACCTGGAGGGTCTGACCCCCCGGAGGAGCCTGTAAGGTGACAACACCTGGTGAAGCAATAACCTAGCATGTACTTCATCGCTATAAACACACCAAAGGGTTTCTGTAACTAAAACAATAATAAAA